ATTGATATTGAAAATCGGTCAAATCGGTTACGTACTCTGAGAACACGTCTGAGTTACAAAATGAATAAAAAATAGGTTTTTCGCTCATAACTCATATTCATAACTAGAGAAAAGGCCTACAAAGCACGCACCATCTCTAAACCATTCAAACCGAGAACACGTATGCTTTCTATATCTTTTGCCCGATTCCCATAAGCTGGAGCAGACTCGCAATATAATTTCCACAAAATTATTCTTCAAAAATAGGACAAATCAGCCATGACCATCCAATGTCACATATATTATTTTTATGTTTCGTTTTTTTCGGTCTCTTATATGGCAATAGTGAAAGGTGCAAAGGGTTCGGTTGCAACTGATATAATTTTCTTACTTGTTCGATGTATTGAAATTGAGTTTCGCTTAGATATAATACTGGGTTCATTGGTTTGCTAGAATTTTAAAAATAAGGTAAATAACACACATTCATTTTAAATCGTTTTTTATTTTGTTTTTTTTTTTTTTTAATAATTATTTGACTTGTAAAAATAGAATACTTATACTGTCAGGAGATATGTACGAGTAATGATGTCATTTATGCCATTTGTGACATGCGATTTTTTCTTTTATTTGTTATATGTTTTTTTTAATTGTATCCCGAGACTTGACACCCACTACAGACAATATTCCTTTTCTTTCCTGTTAAGAATTATAACATAGTTAGATTTGATCTCGTCTCCAAATCCTCTTGCTAAATGGTAAATCTACTTGCATAGATCTTTCGATCTGTACTGTGTTCGATCTAAGTTCTCTGAGCACTGTCTAGTTGAAACAGGTCTTTATTTGTATCCTACTACCCGCTGCCACTCGCATACCCATGCTCCAAAGTTTATCAAATCTCCTTTACTTAACAAGACTATACGTAACATCCCAAGTACCATCTTTCACTGATTCTCTGAATCGAAAGTCTAAAAAATCCCACCCTCCTAATTCTTGGTGGAGCACCGCATTCAACCGAGTTACCGCCAAACTTAGACTCGCTGTAAATAAACGCAAAAGACCTCCTTCTAGAATAAATGTCAAATTTTTGGGCCGATATTACAAAGGAATATACTTATGCTCTCAGAGTGGAAAAACGTAAAGGCTGAAAACGTTTTTGAAAATAGGTCTATTGTGACATGTTTATCTCAGATCTTTGACGCGCTGTGAGAATTTTCAGAGATATCACTTCCTCCCGTTGTTCCATTCCCTTCCGCTCCTATAATCCCCTCTGTTTCACTCGATGAGGAACATGATAATTTTTTCTTAAGTGACATATCTCTCGCTGAACTCGATAAAAATCTTTGCAAAGTTTGCTGTTGATTAGAAAGAAAGTGTGGAAACTTTCGAACCAAGCCGCCTATCAATAATAACCTTATTCGGAATAAGGAGAGTTTGAGTTAATTTATCGCAAGAAACAAAGACGTGGAAAGCGCTTGTGTTCGATTAAAAGGAGAATTCAAGTTAACCAGATCGTTTGTCCCTACTTACAAATGTCATAAGTATTATTAAATTTTATAGACTTCAAAAATATTTTCGAATCGAAGTTAAATAAAATAAATAGAATGTTGGCGTTAAAGAATTTTTGTAAAAGTCTTCGAAAAGTTGCGCAAAAGCAGAATTCGATAAAATATGATAGCGATGCGACGGTGCGTCGGGCCCTGTTAGAATTCGGCGTTTATATGATTTTCTTAATGGCGGCTACAATAGGTAAGCAAGGCGAGGCGATCGGAAAAATTTCTTGAGATAATTTTATAGAAAGCGTTTGTCTTTCAGTTGCCAACTCAGTGCAACATTTTTACATGTTTTACTTTAATCAAACCGTTGAGAAGTTATTTTTAAAACGCGAAACTGAGACCAAGTACGGTAAAGAAGTGGAATTCTGGAATTTAGTTACCACCTCAGATTGGTGGAGTTTTCTGGAGAAGAATTTCTTGGATGGTCTGCACGGCGATGAGAATGACGTTAATAGCACGAAAAGGTTACTATTGAAAGATAACATGTTGTTGGGGCCGCCGCGTCTACGTCAAATGAGAGTGAAATCGCATTCGTGCGAAATAAACGATGCATTCCGACGATATTTCAATTCCTGTTATGCTGGTTATTCGTCCGGCATTGAATACAAAAAAGCGAATTATAAGGGGTAGGAGTGGATTGTAAAGCATTTGAAAAGGTATTCGAGGTAATCGTTGTGTTTTTTTAACTGCAGTACACAATATTATAGTAAACGACAATTGGATGCAATCACATTGAAAGGACAAATAGCTTATTATTACGGCGGCGGCTATGTGCAAATGTTAACATACGAACGCGAAGCGAATCAGAAAATATTTGATAATTTAAAGGATATCAAATGGATAGATCGAGGCACTCGTATTGTGATCTTGGAATTTGTCTTATTGAACTCAAATGCCTATATGCTCGACAATGTCAAGTAAGCTTCTAAGGAAAATTATTCGTGAAAAAAGCAAAGCAAAATTCTTGCTAAAATCGATTTGGTTGAAATATAAAGAATCATTCTCACTTTGCCCTTGTTTAAGAATTTTGGCAGAGTTACCTCCTGTCGGGGGAATAGTGCCCTCACATCAATTGCAACCTTTGAAATTTTCTTTGTGGATGGAAAAAGACGCCTTCCTGTATATAGCAGCGATTATTTATTATCTTATGGCCGGCTTCTACACCTTCGAAGAGATAACAGAGATTAGAGCAATTGGCCCGTCTGCCTATTGCAAATCACTGTGGAATGTTTTCGATGTGTTAGTACTGTTGGTGAATATTTGTTACGTAATAAATATTTGGTAGATTGTCTTTTATCGTTTATGGCTTGCTTTCTTTAAAGTTGGCTTATTTCTCGTTCTTCTATAATCTGGTACAACCCATGCTCTTGAATCGTTCGATAGACGCCGCGCAAAAAGATGATACCAGATTTCATAGCATTGATAATTTGTGCTACTGGAATACTATTTACATCGACGCAATGGGAATTTCTGTGTTTCTGATATGGATTAAAATTTTCAAATTTATCGGTTTCAATAAAACTATGTTACAGTTTAGCACAACACTGGGTCGGGTAAGCGAAGATGAAAGTACAGTGCAGCTAACGAGAGGAGAATAACTTTTGTTTGTCGCTTTCAAAGTGTTCCAAAGATTTGTTTGGCTTTGCTGTAATGTTTTTCATAGTGTTCTTGGCATACGCTCAGCTGGGTCTGTTGTTGTTTGGTGCATCGCATCCAGATTTCCGAGATTTCGGCACATCCGTAATTACACTTATGCGCATGTTTCTCGGCGACTTTGAATATCAGCTAATAGAAGAAGCCAATTACTTTTTAGGACCTATTTATTTCATTACCTATGTTCTTCTGGTATTTTTCATATTATTGGTAAGCGATTTTTTGCCTTTATAGTTTCCTAACTCTCCTTTCCCCCTTTTTGCAATTTTCTTCTCGTTGATGTAGAATATGTTTCTGGCTATTGTGAATGATACTTACGCAGCAGTTAAATTGGAAATTACCGAAGGGCATACGAATCTCGGTGACTATGTTATACACCTTTGGGGTAATTTTCGCAGTACCTTAAAAAAATGTTTCCAACGAAGAAGGAAAGAAGTCGTGGATGCTGATGGTGAGGGGAAGACTGCAATTGATTTGGAAAAATCATCAGTGGATTTTAGTTCATCTGAAGCGACAGCATATACGCATACCAGTATTACGCCAAGAACGCAAGCCCGTCTGGAGCTAACAGGAATTTTGCGGGAGTAAAGACTTGAATATGATCAAATTTTGAAATGTCTTGAGTTTTTATATTTGATGTCGTTGCGCAGATATTTTGAAGAATTGTCGCCCGAACTAATCGATCAAAATGGCCGATATGAAGACACGAGCAGCGTTGCTGCCAATGCAGATGAAATAAGACGGTATTCTACATTAAGTATATAAGCTAAGTCTTTCAGGAAAGTTTTTAAAAACATAGCACAGGCTTGAAGGTTCAGTATAACACCTACAGAATAACACCTACAACAGGTAAAGGTATTAAAACGCTGGGGTGTCTATAATATCATATCTGTTGAAATTCCGCTATTTGACAAGTATTCGCGGATACAGTTTAGTGCGCCCATCTGTCTGTTTATATTTTTCTTATTTGTTGATGACACCTAAAGCAAGCAACATACGAATGTCAATAGTCGTAACTCGGATATAATTTTTCATTGTATTAAGGTTCAATAAGCGGAACCTTGGTAACTAGATGTCTACTCGAAATCTTTTTTACATTAAAATTCACATTAGTGTTCTCTCTTGGGCTCTCCTTCAACGTATGACTCTGATGCTGATTTGTGATATCAATTGGCATAGCAGCAATTTACCTGTGCTTGAGTATTATCGCGTGCGTCATAGGACTTATTATGCTTTAGTAACGTGGTATGCTTGCTTCCTTCCCAAACATTTCTTTAGTTTCTTTCAAAAAGGAGGCTACCAAGAAGCACGAGCAAGCAGTATAAAATTTCTACTTTTGCAACCTGTTGCTTGCGCTATTAATTTTGCTACACAATTCTCTTTGGTTCAATATTTCTTTAAATTTTCATTCAAATCCTAGAATATGCATTATATAAAGCGGCTTTTACGAGATTGCAGACTCTAGAATTTATATAAGTACTACCATAGAGTGAATAGCGGTCACCCCGTTTCTCCGTAGTCCGCATGGTTATGATGAGTGGAGTTTTTAAAATTTTCTGTCATAAAGCCCGTTCTAATGTAGTGCGCATTTCTATTAACTTATATTAAACGTATGTTACTCTTCGATTAATTACGTTAACTATACCAGCGGACATTTCGGCCACATAGTTAACGGTGCTTTTTGTGTATTAGAAAACAATACAAACGAGTAAAGGGCGTCAGAAACATATAAGTTTTTTCCCGTTTTGCGAAAATCTGCGGGTCAATGTTATTGTAAGCTTAGAGGAAATTAGGGCATTAGCTCTTCGGGTGAAAGAGTCCACTAGTGTTGTAAGAATAAATATTTTATTTCTTTCGGTTTTTAAATGAAAGTTGAAAAGTTCGCAGCACATATCTCTTAAGCAGTGGGTATCTGTAGGTTGGATCATCACTTTCGCGCTTATTGTAATTTTCAGTTTCGTTAAACGCATCATTGCATTATATTGCGTGTGCTAACGCTACAATTGTTGCATTACTTAGTGAAATTGTGTTGCGTTCAGCACAATTTACGCAAATTGTTTCTCTTTGTGCATTTTCATGCTTTCTTTTGCTTACTTATCCTTAACATGACTAAATTTTAAATCGATATTCACAAGACACATTGTAAATTATTATTTGCATGCTTACGTGCTCTCCAGCATAAAACTTATTTCTGAGACCTAACACCTTTGGAAAATTTAATTTATAAAATTTCTTAATTTGGACGTCAGTCAAAACACTAACACGACGTACAAAACATTAATTCGCGTATAACATATATCTGATGTCAGGTATTGGCAAAAAAGTGAGAGTGACACGTAGACAACTCGTAGATCTATTGAAAAACAATCTGTCTTAAATTATCGAGCATTTCTGTTTAGGCAGGTATCTACTCCTTTTTTAATGGGATATGCAAGAGAGTCCCCCAATCACCCAAAGAGAAATAAGAAAAAGGCACATCATCCGTTTAATATTATGTCGATCTTTACAGTTGTTCTTGAATTTCTTTCATCAGTCTTCCATACGTCCTTTCATCTGTCTGCCTGATTGCATATCCGTCTAGGTAGCAGACCTACACTTCGACCAGGCTCTTCTTGTATATTGTCCTAAAACCTAAAAAAAGTTTAGGTCAAAAGTTGTAACGGTTGAAGACAGCGTGATCTAACATGGACTCATAATAGGAAAGCAGTTCAAACAACGTTAAGAGAAGAAAAATTTAAATTGAATATTATCAATAAATTGAAGTTTGATTTTCATATCATTTTCATACTAGAACCGTCTTCAAATCTAGGCTTTAGTAGTCCCGCTAGTATAGTCCGCATTCACAGAAAGACTCAGGAGTTTTGTTCGCCAAAGATTTTCTTTTTCATTTGTTTTTTGTTTTTGCTCTTCTTTTTATAGATTAAAACATCGGGTTGGTTTGCTTGAAGATGTGTTGGAACAATTAGTGGCAGGTATGGATCGAATATTGGAAAAAGTTGATTCCCGGAAACATGCCAAAAAGGAGTAATAGATCCAAAGAACAATTATTAATAATGAATCGATTTCATCTACCTCTTGTTCATAATTTTTATTTTACACTTATTTGTTACCCTTATGAAGCATGCTTGTTGACGCGTCATTACTACAATAAATAACTTTAACTAATTTCTGTTCGTGTACCCTAATGATAAATTCTAATTGTAAGATGTTCTCTTAGTCAATCAACAATCGAACCAAATTGATATCGAAACTATTTTAGCCATTTCTACAGACATGTACATGTTATGCAGGCATAAATCATGTCTTCGAAATGAATTATTGCAGCAGAATGCATTGCACATTAAGGCTTTCAATGGTCGTCGTGGTAATGTGCCTGTGTAAGTTAAACGGAAGTGCCGGCTTCTCTTCAAGCCAGAAATTTTACAGATTTCTTTTCCAACTTATGATTACAAAAGCACACATGCATGCGTTGTATGCAAAGCTTCTACATGAGGAAGAAAATTTGCATTGAAAAGAAGACTATTTGTCATATGTTAAAATAGTTTTGATATAACATGTCGGTACGTAGGTGAGTGCAAGGTCGTTTATGTATTGCAGATATGCATCCGTTACGATCTTAAGTAATTCCTGTGTCATTTAAATGACTTTCGAATTCATAAGTAAATGCAATTTTGTAAGTGAGTTTCAAATTAATAATGGAAGTGGAATGCGTAAATAAATGTATGTGTTTGTGTATGTCTATATCTAAAGAAAATATGAGGCGATAATAAGTATGAATAATATGTACGAAGGAACGAAAAAGGAGCATCCGAAACGAAGTTTGTATACCCTTCAAATGCAAGTAAACAACTGCCGACTGCTGCTAGTTAGTCCTGCGTATGCATGAAAACTTCCTGATGACCCACTTATTATTGTTATTAATATGCGAAGTTGTAGCTGCTTTGCGGATTCTTTCTCCGATTTTAGTTACTTACCATGGCTTCATTTATCACGTGATTCTAAAGAAGTGTTCATATCATTCTTTTTTCTTTATAAATCGCAAAGCAGACCTTTGGACCCTTGAGTATAAGGCACAAGTATATAGAATATGCTACTGAAAACGAAATTTTTGATTTCCGTACGGACAACTTTCTCCGCTGAAACTAGTTCTAAATAGTTGTTTGCGATCACGAAGGTGAGTGGTAAAATATACAGCCACAAAGCAACGGTTGCCTAGCTGGCTCTTTTCTATATTCTATCTGTAAATGTTGAGGCGATCAACAAGAAGCATTTAACCAAAGGTGTCCGATTTTCGTAATGTTGTATCAAGTGAATAACTAAATTAATATGATTCCATCATCGATTATAGGGTAGAGAGAAGAAAAAATTGCAAGTTATTGTTAGTTACAAAACATTACAAGTAATTAAATATTCATTTATGCATCAAATAGTAACAAGTCTGAAAGCTTTATGATTAAAAGAAAAAAAGAAAAACACAAATTAAACAAAAGCATATGGTCAGTTAATGAAAAGATCATAAACATTCTAGAAAAGTGCTCAAATAAAGCTTTTAAAAGAAATCGCTCAAAGATCGATTCGCTCGCACCGAACTGAATGCTTACAACTATGGAATTTTAGAAAACTATTTTAGAATTCTTTGAAATAAAATTTTAAAACAAAAAAAAAAAAAGGAACCAGTTCGTATGCAAGAAACAAGAAACAATTGCCTGCATGTGCATCGAGTATGAAGATTGAATGGGCTATGCAAACTTATATACGAATTATTGCTCCAGGTAAGGTACTCTTACAACGAACATAAGATGATTATCCTTACTATCAATAACGCAATTATTTTGGAGTTCACAAGTTTTGTGTGAATTTTTCTCGATTTATTTGTTTGCTGTTCTTGTTGTTTTATATTTGTTTTTGTTTTTTTACCTTATTTTTCTTCTTATATTCCATTGAAAAAGTTCAAATCAACTTCATTTGCTCTAGATATTGCTTTAAGCTGTTGGTGGCTTTACTATTTGTTGTTAGTGTTCGCTGCAATCGCAGTTTCTGTTATTGCTGTTAATGGTGTTCGTGGTATAAAAGCATTCAACTCATTGATTTTCTTTTGAGTTCGTTGTTTCACAGAGTCTTGTGCAAGTGTTATTAACTTTTCCACATTTATATAGAAATTTTATACATTTGTTTCGCTGTCTTTCTTTCAAGACTTTTTCGCAAAATAAGTAACAAACAAAAAAAAAAAAAAAAAGAAAAAAGACAACAAAAACAAAAAGATTAAAGCAACAGATTGGTTTAACAACGTTCTACATATAAACATTTTGAAATTGTAACGACATTTTGATTTTGTTTAATAGTGAAAGTGCGACCCTCAGCTAAGGGAGTCATAACGTAAACAAATTTATTTGAATTATTGCGACACACATATATAGAACACTAATAATGTATAAATTGGTAAGAATGGGCAAATGCTTGAAGTGAATGAGATTAATTAGAGGGAAACGAAAAAAAAATAAAAAATATTAATCAAATATTTTACTTTAAATACTTACGCGTATGTATGCGATCCGATCGAGTTGTCTCAACAATGTGAACGAAACATATTCGCCTTTTCTATATAAGAAAATGTCTGAAGTGTTTGATCAAAATGTTTATAGTTTTGCTTCCAGAGGATCCTTTTTCCATCAGGTCCTTGCACTTTCCGTGGGCTTGCCCGTCTATCTATCAATCTTTTCGACATGTTTTCCTTTCCATAGTTGGAATTTGTGTTGATTATGCAGCGGATCATTGTACAAGCTGTCACACAAGTCTATAAATCTCTTATCATCTAACAGCTTTACTTGAAAACCTATAATGTAACATAGGTACTGGTAGAGTATAGCATAGCTACGTAGAACGTTGAAAAATAGGCATCGAGGATTGCTATAGAATGTACATTATGTCCTTCTGATAAGTACATGGTCTACTCATCATGTCTATGGCTATTTCATTCTAATAGTTTGCGGAATTCGCTTTAAAAAATACGCGTAGAACCAGTTACACAAATGAATAGGAAAAGTTCAGGTTGTTCTCTTTATTTAATTTCCGCTGTTTGATTTGCTTTACACACAATTGCAAATGCAATGTTTTGTAATCTTTATGCAGCTTAGAATTAATTATAACTGTAACCAGTTTTTTCCTTTATTTACTTTTATCTCATAATAATTTTGTGGCCAATACCTGATTTAGTTTTCGAATGTTTCCAGTTTTTCTCTGCTACTTACTTTACTTTAAGCCAAGTTGAAGTTAGTTGGTAAAGGGGCGGAATGAACGAATACATATGCACAGAGAATTTAGTTCCCCTCAAACGAAATGTTTTCGAGCTCGATCAACTTCAGAAAATCTAGAGATAAGGTTTAGCTGTCCAAATTACTCCCAGCGGAGCATTAAACTCCAAGATGTTTGTTTAACCATTATCTGAAGTAACTAAACTACAAAGCGAGAGGAAAGCATAAAACTCAGGCTCAAGCTAAGGAAAGTCTTTAATAATTTGATGTCTTTTGATTAAGTTATACTTTCTGTACTTGTAAGTCCAAGGAAGCATGAAAAGAGGAAATTATTTCATATTTGCTTAACGCTTGTTGTCATAGAAGGTTTGGAATAAAAAAAGTTCTTACAAAGCTTCCTGGAAACAGCCGAAGTAGTTTTCGAAATAATTAAATAAATTCCGAAGCAGATAAGTTGCTTAACAGTGAGACTTTTTGAATCCAGCACGAAGGTGGAAAATCTGTCTCTTGCCTTCGAAAGATATTCCGCGCGTTCAACATAGCAATGGACTGATTTTCCGGGCACATATTTACAGCCAAGATCCACAGGGCAAACTACTTTCTGTAACAAACTAATGCAAGCTTGATATCAATATCCGCAAAAAGGTTTCTAGCGGTTCTTATATTTCCATTAGACGCTGGGCTCCTACGATATGGTGTTGCTGCATATGCATGTAACATATCTTCTCTTGCTTCGACTTCTTGTAGATTTAACAGAGTGATAATTATGACAGAGCTTAAAAAAACTGAATATCATTTTTCCACTCAAAAAAAGTTGTTTGCATTACATTTCACTTTAGCTAACGAAATGGGTCCAAGCATTAGTAATTCAATGTAACAGCCTTTGCAGGCATTTATTTCTTACTTGAGACATATGCAAAAAAAAAAGTTGCAAATCATTCCCTTAATTAGGGACATCGGTTGACATGGAGTAATTGCAAACATCTCTAAACATTTATTAAGCACTTTTTTCACATTTTAGATCAACAATTGCTATAGGTTAAGTAATTAATAGAATTATTTTGATAATTTCGTTGTTTAGGTGTGTTTGTGGAGGAGGGTTCACGCATTCGATTCGAAATTTTATTCTCACGATTACGGAGGTTTGCATTCTTCTCTTCTCTTTGCTTCTCTCTGAATGTTATAAATGAAATATTAAAACTAATATATCCGCACGGTCTTAAAGTTCGCAAATCAGTATTTAAATGAATGCTTGCGAGAAATATTTCGCACATATTTCTGCGAATGTAATTTATGCAAACGTTATAAAAGAATGGTAAGCTTCGACTTACTATAGGTATGTAGAAAAAGGTGTGTCATGATGTTTTGTGACAGATATTAATGATTAAACCGGTTAATAAAGCTATAACCTGACTAATTATATACAGATGGATATTCACCTGTACGTGATAATTTGTAGAACTTGATGGAATTTTATAAAATTTTTGATTGTCGTTCGCATGATAATGACATTGTTTCAATCATTTTTGCAAACGCAAGCAGAGGCAATCTTGAGAAGTAAACACGAAAAGCTATAATAATGCAACGCACACATAAATGATCATTTCAACCGAAAATGGCGGGAATATTTCGGAGATGCTTATCATATAGGCTCTATAACAGATGCCTATGTTTGATTAGCATAAGGTTCTGAGATGACTTAATCCTTTCCGCCCCTCTGACTGTCTACCTATCTGCCATCTGCTTCCCTGCCTGTCTCTCGATCTGCCTCTCTGATGGTATGTCTGTCCATATGTCTGGCGCTCACATTTACTTATAAAGCCGTAAGCAAAGAGGACGCATAATTTTCCCCAAAGACATCAAATTTTGTCGCTTGCGGCTTATGGTTTTCAAGAGGTCAACGGCTCTTGCAAAGCCACACAAAATATTCTCTTAAAAAAGATTCAAAATTTATTTTACGAAAAACACTATGAGATGTTGTGCCACTTTGCCCGATAACGTGATATAAAAATTTCTTTTATTTATTTTATTTTTATAATCAGCTTTGTGGTTATGTATATGTTCGTGTACAGATTTGTTTATGTTTTCATTTATTTGGATGTAATACTTTAAGGAGCTTTTTCTAAACTATGGTAAATTCGTTTCATTTAATTAATTGAGATAAGTAGATAAACTAATTGGTTTTATTCATAATGTAAACATTCTTTTGCTAACCAAGGACACTCATACGTTGTTGTAATTACTTAACCGTAAAAAAAAAATATTATAAATATACTCTACTCCGAAGTTGGGCAACCATTTGGTAGTCTTTAAAGGTAAAGTTTAGTTATTTTTGGAAATTAATTAAAACATTTAAGAGAAAGGCGACCTTGCAGTGTATTTTGGACTCCTACCCTCTTAACGATTTGTTTTTATTAAGCATATGTTACGTTGGAGTTCGTCGTGAACTTTTAGACGACAATGACAAACTTGGACCGAAATTTAAGATCTCTATCCGCTGTAGATTAATGAAAACCTAAGGAGGATATTTTCTCCTCAAGATGTGCACCTTTTAATGAATAACCTGTGATGAGTTGGACTTAACTTTTCACAAGATTTTTTGTTTTCGATTCAAGTGTCACACACTTTGCACAATTATTTCTAAAGCAACAGCTATAAATCAATTGATCTTCTACTATATTGCTATCTCGACCTGGGCATTTTCTTCAGTATAGAGTTCGTCTTCTTCGAATAATGAATATTGACACAATTTTCCTACCGATTATTTCATAACATTTGATAGTTACTCTCGTTAGAAGGTAGATAAAAGAACGGAATCATAGAAAAATAGTTTCCTCTGTTGGTGACATGTTTCTATATTCTCTGTATTATGATATATGAAAACATTTCTTTAGCATGTCGTTTCTTTCATGGTCAACCGCATAATTTAAGTGATTGTAATTCTCGCAGATTTCACTGTTCAAGTGGAAAAGCACGTACATATGTGCATTTAGTACGTATATATATATTCATTGTGACTTTTTGTAGTTTGTGATATCATGTCTAACGCTAATGCTGCACGGTGCACATGCCCAACATCACGACTACACGACACCTGTACCGATTCTTAAACAAATCGATAGGCAAAATTCAGACGGTTCGTATACGTACGGATACGAAGCGGCCGATAAGAGTTTTAAAATCGAAACGAAATATCCCAATGGGGAGGTATTTGGTAAATACGGTTATGTCGATGATCAGGGCAGTGTAAGAGAAATTGAATATGGAGCCAGCAGACGAGGTTTCGAGCCGGCGGGTATGTAGCTACGATCTCAAGTACCGCAGATATCTACTTTTACTACTTTATTTGCATTTCGTATTTTTATTCAATTACTAATAGGCAGCGATATAAACGTACCGCCACCCACATTGCAGTCGAGCAATCCTTATCCTCTGAATCCTAACGAAGAGGATGATGGACAATACAGAGAGGATCCTGCGGTTTATTTTAAAAATCAAAAATATAACCGTCCTATAGCTGCCAGTAAATTTAGTCTCAATAATAATAATAATTATCAAAATAATTATCAACAGCCGAGACCACAACCGGCTTACAATCCGCCACAACACGCACCCGCACCCGCTTATAGACAGCCGGCAGCGCCACAGTATTATAATCCTCCATCGCCACCTCAACCCCAGCCTCAACCTCGTCCATATTATCAGCAGCAACATTACCATCAACCAGCACCACCACAACCGCAATACAATCCTTACAATCCAAACAGCCAACCCCAACATTTTCATCCCGCTGTTAAGCACCTTGACATTTGGAGTGGCTCTTACAGCTTGGACTATACGGGTAGAAAGTAGGCTTTCGAAAAAGTACGTGTTGTTGTTGTTACATGAGTTAGAGTAAGGATAAGGGCGAGAAGAGAGTTTTAAAACAGAGGAGGAGAGCAAATTGCTCTCTTTTTCATTTGACCTAATTTATGAGATGAAAAGTGAAAGAAAGCTTTTTCGATTCTTTTTTTTTTTTTGTAACAGTCATAATAGTCAATAAAATGTTAAGATAACTGTTTTGTCGCATTGTGTTTTTTCTAATTATTGAATAAAATTTAATTGGTGGTAACGTACGTACGTAAGTCCTATGTCGATCAATTTGTTGAAAATTCGTTACCAATATATGACTCTGCGGGTTGTGAATGTGTGCAACGTCATGAAGACCATCATGAAGCTTGATTTCGCGCTTTGCAAATAAGTGACAGTAGGTAAAATAGGTGAGTAGGAGTTAGTTAGGGAGGGGGAGGGGATATGTGTACATGCAAGCACTCTCTCTTTACTCTCTGGCGATTCTTAACGTAGCCTAAGAAAATGTTTTAAATTCCTTTGGTAAATTATTTGCCATAACCGCTTAGACAGTCTTTGTAGTTTTCAAAACACAATCAGTATCTCCTTGTCCAGGACATTTGTTAATCAACTTTTGAAAATCGAGCAACATTTTCAGCAATGTGAGGGCAGAATAAATTAAAATTTTATAATAGATATTACCCGACCAGTTTTTTCATCTCTCTTAGGAAATAGTCTTCTTATGCATTTGAACAGTCAATGGCATCCGTTACATGCAATGTCGAGAAAAAAGGACCATTATCTCTAAACACTCGAAGAAGAACAACCAGAGATGTTTATACAATACAAGAGATGAATTGACATAACAACTAGTATTGAACAACACAAAAGTATTAGTAGTAGTAGTAATAGTAGTGGGAAAAGTCGGGACCGATAACTAATCGAAAAGCAAAGATTGCTTGGTAGAGCGTGCCTTAGATGACTCGGGATCACTAGAGATATATCAGCCATTTGGACTGTATGTGTGATCAGTCACAGTCGCCTTGTTAGAGTAATCTACGTTCTTAGTAAAGGTACCGTACTTTAATGGAAGTGAAGGATGAAAATCCTCATTTTTTGTCATACGTACACCCATTGAGTACCTGTGAATAGTTGCGAAGACAGCCTTAATGGATGTAGAAATGCAATGAAGTAAGATTCTTGTTTTTCTATGATAAGGAAACACAATGTCGAACGTTCTCTGTATAAAAAAGAAAAAACTTTTAGTGAGAGGTGAACTACGAAGCACATCTACATACATACTATATACATACTATATAACATATAGCACATCTATATAAGTGCTATATATATATATACGGGTGGGGCATGTTGTGGTGGTGTAGTATAAGACTGTAGTATTTCGATTATGCTGCAAGCGAGTGGGTGTTATATCAACGGTCTTAATAACGGGTTAAACCAGTTTATTTATTTATTTATTTATTTGTTTTTTTTTTTTCTTTTTAAACAATAACGTTATGGACAAGAGAACAAAACAAATTCATTTAAAAAATATGTATATTGTGTGTGGGACTATATATAAACACACGTACTTAGGTAGGTATGTTGTATTGCTTGCGTACAAAAAAAAAGCTATCAGAAATATAAACAAAAGCATTTTCGTGGCATTACCACGAACCAATGCATTGTACATGATACATATTTATGCAGAGGGATAGTTGATAGAGCAGTAATAGGTAGTTGGGGGTTAAATAATGGTTCCATGGCAGCTAGTAAATACCAAGAGTATATATATATATATATATACAAATGTACCTATGTATGCTGACATGCAATACCAATTTGATTCAATTCATTTCATTTTTGTTTTGTTTTTTGTTTTTTTTTCTTTTTTTTCTATAATAATTTGACTTTAGTTTTTTCTTTCCTTGTTTGCTCTTTGCTTTAGTTACTAGCAGTTACTGATGTCTGTTGTTAGTTTCGTTGGTCAGTCAATTGGTCACTTGGTTTACTAAATAAATATCTTGCATAAGTATATTGCATGGAATAACAAATTCCAGGGCATATGCAGCAACTTGCTAAAAATTTTATAAAATTTTTTTCTTACTATTTTTAATACACTTTGAAATATATTGTTGGTTAATATATGTATATACTATGTGTATATATATAATAATAATATATAAATTTACATAAACTGTTGCTTGGTGGTTTTGTGGCATAACTTAATAGCAATTTTTTATGGTCACATAATACTAAATGGTGTAAAAAGAGTTTTTATCATAAATAAAAAATGGAAAAATATAATACTTTTGCAATCAATTATTAAGCGTTTAAATAAAATATTAATGAAATTTTTGGATTCATCCCAAGTCTGATTTTTCTCATTCCATATGTATAGATAGCAGGCAATGGTATAGTAAATTTTTCACATAAGCTATGACGAATGCAGTTAACTAATAAGAGTTCATGGGGTTGTTGGCGTACTATGAAAAATTATTTAATTGATTTTTATTTAATAACTATTTAATTAGTAGCAATTACAATGAATAACAATTCAGGTAAGTGAAGCTTTTAATTTGAAAACGATTCCTCGCTTTTATATAGAAAAATGATATATGTGAATATATTTATAAAAGTAATATGATCGCAGCGATGTTTTTACGCCCTATCGGTAAAAGATCGTTTGGAAGACAAGATGTACTCAGTTTGGATCGAGTATATTCTAAACTAGTTTCTCTACAAATTCCGAAGAGAAAATTATATCGTTATCGCATAAAAACTAATCGAAAATGTTTCGCATTAGTGCCTTGAGACAAATCGTTATAAGTGATATTCTAAAGTGATCGTCCGATTTCACCAGGCAATAACTACATATACCATAAGTACTTCACTTTATTTGCATATGATTTTTCCTCGCTTGTCCGATAAAGATGTCAACTTAGGAGTTAATTTTTGCAGACATGATCTTCGGGGCTTCATTATTAAACCCCAGTTTATTTCTTAGAAGAATATGTTGAGGTGTTGCCTTAAAAAAAGGAAGAAATAGTGTTTATTTTTCCCTGGTGTGGACCGAGTAAATAAGTTGATCTTAGTGCCTAAGCTCAAAGCGTCGCAGAGATACGCTTTTTTGCAACATATTTCTGTCCTTATCATATATGCCATTTTTTCCCACCTTTCCCGTAACACTATTCTGATCTCACAATAGGACTTCTAGGGTTTGTTGGGCGAAATCTGCGCACCAGACTTCTGTAGGAATTGAAGTAATTGTTAGTCGGATGGGCATTGAAGCTAGTAAGGTCTGATGGGCTTACTGTTACTAAAGTTACCCATCTGCAAGAAACATTAATTTTAATATAATACTGACTTTGAAATTCGATGTGTGACTCCCACGATCTAGTTGAAATCATATTTTGACCGCTTGACAATTTCTGCTTTAATGCGTTTCCTTATTACACTAAACAAGAGTGTAAAAGTTCTTTAAGTTGAGTTAAGATATGAAAAAATATCATTTTTTAACATAGACCTGCAGTTTTCAAATTCCTAACAAGGAAATCAAGACAAGTGTTTAAATTGAAAAAAAAAAACAAAAAACAAAACTGCATGAAATAGCAATAATAACCTTGTTAACTATGCCGATATTGACAGGAATGCGTAAACGTACGTACAGTAAATGTATATTATTAAATAAATTAATATTAATAATATGTATCACATTCTACTTCATATCTTCAAATAAATATATATACATATACATGTCTATTAGTTATATCTGTACTGTTTTCCTTCATTGCGCTGTACTGCCGTGATACATATACGTCAAAAGCTTTGTGAAACATAACTGGGAGTTAATGGTGGTTAATTCCAAAGAATGCAAAACAAATTGATATACATATATACGAACATAGAAATCTGAACATATACATCTACATATATGTACGTATGTAAGTGTATATACATGAGTAATCAATTAAAAGCTTTAATACATTTGCTATAAACCACTAGAAAACTAGTCTGCACAATACTTGAAATTAATCGTAAAGAATTTTTTTTCATTTTCCTGTTTCTGTAAGCACTGAGTAATAGAAGTTTTTTTCCTTTTTTATTTGATTTCTAAAACTAGACTATACACACACACACACACACACACACACACACACACACATGCACGCTTGTCTAAAGGTTTGCTTTGGTTTTGTATGCTAAACAACCAAAGCAATTAAACTTGTCTAATGTCAGTTTCTTTGTTTGAATTCGAGCGCACCCACCCACCTAACAAGTCTTACGTGGCACCATCGAAAACCATTCATTTTTGGTTTGTGATTACGTTCCATACTTTGTCGCATAAAGAATTTATATCGAGAGAGTGATGCGTTTTGTTGCACATCTTATGCTCCTGTTCGTAGCTTTTTGCTTTTCATTTAAATTTCGACCTATGAAAATTTTCATTAACACGCTGTAATGAGCATACATGTTAGCATAGGCCCCCAATTTCAATTTTATACCAATTTTCCTATATAATCCTTTCAATGTATGCAAATGTTATATGTTTATGGATTGTGTTATTCGAGTTTACGCAAGCACACATACGCGCATACACATGCCCATGAACGCAGATTACTATCAGTTGCACCGTACGCTAATGCGTATGTACGCGCAGGCAGGCAGGTTGGTATCAACTTGCATTCACTTCAGGTTTCTGCTTTTGAACAAGTTGCGTGCAAGTGACCGTCAATCTCTCCACGCATTTAATTTTGAGTTCATTGTCAGTGTTTTTTGTTTTTCCTTCCTTTTCTACGAATATTATATAAATCGTGCACGTCTGAGCAAACGTACAGGTAATTGTACGTTTTCTTCATTTGCCTACGAGATGCTGTGAATTTAGTTGAAAAAAAAAAAATAAATAAATAAATTGATAGACATATATACATATATACGTAACATTTGATTACCATTCTCAATTGGGGCTATACTGAAGTAGTGTTGAACAATTTTACCTGCATTCGAAATTTGTTGTTGCAATCATTCAATGCTGGGGATGATTTCTCCATTAAGCACAGAAAGCCTAACACTGGCCGGAAATTGTGAAAAAGCTCTAAAGTGAGGCTAAGGAGCTTGTGGAGTGGAGTAAATTTCGAAACTTGATACCATGAGTAATATTCTACGATAAATTCATTGACTTGGTATTGAATTTAAAAAAAAAATATAAAGAACTAAATCGTAAGTAAAAACTTAGTAGAGATCATATATGAGTTTTCTCACTCATGCTATTGAACAAAGCGGAATTCGACCGGCGCAGAACTGCTCACTATAGACGGGCATAATGTGTAGATATTTTTGAGCGACGTGAAAATCGCTCAGTTCTTTTTTCGTAGGAGATCGTCCATCCAAAATTTGCCATCTCGCCTGTATGTTAATATGTCCATGTGTCTGCTTATACATCCGTTCTGCTCCCATCTGTTCTCTTTGTCAGTTCGTCTATCGAACTTCCTATCCTTTCGTCTGTGTGTCCTCTTGTACGGTCACTTCATTTGTTCGTTTGTGCGTTGAGTCGTTAAACCGATCATGTGACTAATCGCCTTTACATGTACCCGCCCATGTCAATAACATAATCCACTGACAGCATCACCTGGCCGTAGCACTGCCTGGCCTTCGCATTATCTATTCTGTCATCTTTTCTGTATCTTTTAAAATCGCACACACTCTTCTATTAATTAAGAGACAGAATAATTTTAGAGATAACAGAGCTTTTCAACCTTCTTTTTTTAGTAGCGCCTTTCTTTTACACTTACTTACGTCATTAAGTCAGTCAAGGAAGGAAAAGTAACGCGTTCTTATCGGCGTATGAACGAGCGAAGCAACTAATGATCGAATAAAATGAAACGAAATACTTGTACTTATCCCAAATGCATTCGGAATTAGCATTAGTGCATTAATGGTAGAACTGTTAATGACATTCGCTTGACTTTAGAATTAAAGAAATATTGATGTAATTTAAAGGATGCTGTTTGCTGCGATGAAGCGTTCAGTTTTAAATTATATACAGATTGCTATTTCGTTTCTAGATTCGTATCGAATCAAATACGTATAAGAGTTTCGCCGGAAAATGTGAAATGCTTCATATCGTTTTGCACTTCAATGATTTGTCTTTCGTTTTCTTTACCTAACTGTTAATCAAAGCGACGTATACATTATTACATAGGGTTTTTTATATACATGCAAATATTTATGCATATATTTTGTATGAATATGTCAATCATATATGGGTTTACATATAATATATATATATATGTATATATGCATTTCCGTAATAATATTCGTGTGTCATAGACGTGAAAAAATAAAATGAAAACAAACTCTAGATTTCTTCCTCAACATTGAAATATAATATTGTACATTTAGTTATTAATAATATATTGAAAGTGCGCTTAAATAAATAAAACTTGTGTGCATTAGTTAGTTAGTTAAAATGAAATTAAAAAGTAACATATGGCAAAGTTAAGTTTTAAGAGAGATTTCAATGCAAAAAAATAAAAGCTTTCTGCTTAAGACAATACACTTACACTAATCGACGCATATAAGCAGAAAATTTTTACTCAATTTCCATGCACGTAAAACTTATAAGTGCAACTTAAAGTGGTGAATAAAGAAAATAATTTAGAAAAAAAAAAAAAAAATTCATCTGTGGTCAGTGCATATACATGCAACTAGAGTTGAAAGAATTTAAAATTTTTTCAGCAAAATGTAAAGGTTTCTTAATTTTCTTTTTTGATTAAAAGAGCAAAAAAAATTTAATTCTAATTAAAAAAAATATTTATTTAATAATTAATTTTTAAGAAATTAAAAGTTAGAAGCGAAGTCTGGCTTGATACTGTTTCTTTCCTTTTTTGTTTTTGTTTTTTTTTTTTGTTTGCTTTTCTTATAAGCACTAGAAGCAGTCGTAAATAAAAACGAATAACTTAACAAGACTTGGAGTTTCTCGTAACTTTCAAAGGTTTCTTACAAAGCTATTTACTGCTAGTCAGCCAGCCACTCTTTTGTTGAATTTACCAAACAAATCAAGTACAAGCTATAAAAAGGCTCAGATATTTTTATAGCGGTTCAGTCCAAACGCGCAGTTTTACTCATTCATTGAGAACGTGGTGCAGTCAACGCACAAACGTACACATAAATACACATAAGTCTGGACGGAAAGACTTAAGTAACCAGAATAAAGGATTAATTTATGTGTGGCGAGCAGCAGCAACTGAAATATAATAAAAGTGCAATAAATTCAGAAAATAAAATAAATTAAATTAAATCATCACAAACCATGCTACTAGTGGTAGGTTCATAACACAAAAAAAAAAGCTTTTTACTTAAATTCAAACAATGATCGCTTTAAAGATCAATCAATTCAAATATGGACTTTTGTGCAACGCACTGCAAAAGGTCAAAGTTAAGCGTGTGCACAAAAAAAAAAATTGTAATAATTTTCAATTTTCTACAAAATATATAATAATTGAAAGTTGTATAGAGTGACAATAAGAGAATAAATAAAAGAATTAAAGAGAAATTGATTGAATTACTTGCGTAGAAGTCGAAGTTTTTGAATTGGTTCCTCCTTCTCCTCCGCCAGATGCAAATATTTGATAAATTTTCTTTAATGTTTGATACAAAATTAAACAAAAAAAAAAGAAGAAATTTGTTAAACATCGAGACCGTCAGGATACATTGATATGAAAATAATGAGCTCAATAGGTGCAGATGTTAGCGGAGATGATGATTAGATGAGTCGGATGAATATACAAATCTTGGTATCGACGAAGATCAACACAATCCTGAGATATGGATTAACACATAAAGGGTTTAGGGATACGATGTGAGAATCAGTTTTTATACAAAACTGATGATGTACGACTTACGGTATTTACCTTGGGATGTCATCTTATCTTATCTATCGTCTCGAGCAGATTTCTTTAGGCCAGCCAGAAGGGCAATTGAACCACCTTTCGGCTGAATTTCCACACGAGCTCATGTAAATCATTCGTTCGCTAAATGTGAAAAGTGAGGTCTCCACTATCGTTCGGAAGTTATCAGTGTAATTCTATTGAAACCTTCGTTTTTTGGATTCTCAAGTTTTTTTACTCCTTTCGTCTTTTGAGCACATGCAGGTCGCAAGTACTTCTAAGTTCGTAGAATGTTTGTAACGGATTTCTGCTAATTCTCTCTTTGTTTTTTTTCTTGGGGACTTGGGAGTACCTAAGGCAGATCACAACCAAATGGACTTGGCTGGACTAGCGTAATGTTTCGAGGTGATCAAAAACTTGTATGCATGCATCTAATGGGTATTTTTGAATGTTACGTAGGAATCAATGCAAGTCTTCCAGTGGAGTTAACGAGTTTTTTTTCAATTGTTTTCATATTAAAGTATTACACACAGATACGAAAGGCAAATAATGTGATTCCGAAAAAGACATGGCATGCAAGTGGAAGTGTACTCGGATTTCGATTCCGATTGACTAAAATTGTTTTTTCTTATTAACTTGTTAATAAACATGCTTAGATATGAGATAATTTTCTCTGTAATCGTTATATGTTAATATTTTTATTAGCATATCAGTTTATTGCATATCAGTTGCTTCTATGCATTTACACATAATAGATACTTTTATTTATAATTAAAAATTTTATGCAAAAGGAAACGAAATATCAAAGTGTAGTAAACAATAAACCGAGTTTGTTGCACGTACATGTGTGTAAATGTGTTTCTTTCTTTTCTTTCAAACTAACTACACACATGTATGTACACACGCTTGAAACGACTTTTTAAAGTGAAGTACTTTATAGATAGATTTTTTTAAATACATTCGAAATTATTCACACCTTAGATGTTATTAAACCAGACTAAAACAGTAATATATTCATGTATGTGTGTGAAAAAAGTTTCGTAGCGGTTTCATACCAACCACCTACAGATTAAAGCATGTTAGTTCGTCCATTTGATTCACGACACAGTACAAGATTAAAACGGGAGAGAGCCGCCTGTTAAGAAAATTTGCAAGAAATTAAATGAAACGAACTGTAGCTATTAGAGCGGACTGACAAAATCTCCCATACATGTATATGTGTGACAAAGAAATGTAAAAACTGAGTGCGACATAAATTTCGAACAATTTCGATGAGTCCGCGATTAAGCACCCTGTATATGTCTCAAGGCAAGCGTTCTGAACTGTTGCAGACAACTTTGAACCTTTGAACCTTTTAACCACAACCGGAATGTAATCGGCTTAAATAAATCGTCAAATCGCAGAGATCAAAGGGCAAAGATTTCATTTACCTCCAGGATTAGAGTCGAGCAGTGCAATAAAATATGACAAAGAAAGAAACCGACATTAATGGCAGATAGATATTAGATAGACTCAAAAGAGTAGAATTAACTGCGGCGTAGATGATGCAGATGCTCCTGTAGCCTCGCTAAGTGCTCTTTCCTAAAGTTACGAAGACTTTTGCCTGCAAATTTTTTCTTTTACCAGAACTCTTGCCGGAAGCCCTTGCAATTCTAAAAAAGGTATTTAGTCACTAAACAGCAAATCGTCGGTACAGCATTCTCTTTATTCTTATTAGTATATTGTTGGCGATTCCTCCCCTGGACAGGCTTTTAAAAGCACGCTTAACTCGACAAATATCGAGCGTAATGCGATCCGTAAAAAAGCAAATAATATCTTACATATACCTTTCAATTTATGTTCTTTTTACCTCCGCTGCCTATGCTTTCTTTTCTCTATCAGTTCCGGTATTTACGTTCATCGGCTCCCAGCATCTGGGCAGTCTCCCTGCTCTGTGCATTTGTCGATCTGCCCATTTTTCTGCTGCCACCTCCTGGCTGTCAGTCAGTCAGTATTGCAAGTTGTGTCTGTCCACCTCTTGTATCTCCTTTACATGTAGGCTCGATGGTTGATAGGGAGGTTTCTAAGCAGAAGTTTGTTCTATACATAAATTCAACCCTTTATTTATTCAGGTCTTATTTACTCTTCGCTGCACATTACATCATTCAATAAACGAATTCAGGTTAACTAACAGTTAAATTCTTCAATCATCAAATTTACATTCTAAGCTATTTTCGTAACAATTAAGGATATATTAAGCGAGCATAAAATACTATTATAAAATCCAGCAGGATTACTCCACCGTCAAGCTTAGTTTGTTATGAGTTGTGTCAATATAGTTCGGATAAGAGGAGCCCTCTTTTGTTTCCATTAATCAAAAGTGCAGTGGAATTCTTTAAAACACTTACAACACATACGACCGATATGTAAATTTTTTATGATCCCTTCAATGAGTTTGCATTTATGCAAAAGCATGATGTGAAGGCTTAGGTTATAAAATTGAAAAAGGATACTCATCGGGAGCAGGTGATTGAAAACTATCACAGGATATCTTTTGCCTCGAATGAACAGAATGAAAGAATTGTGGTTTGCTTGTGCACACTTTCATGCTCATATATAAATGTACAATTTTCTAATGCAGAGAAAATCAATGAATTTAATGTCGAAATTTTATGAAGACAATGCCACTGAGATTTCCCTTTAAATTCCCTGCAACGACAGAGCGGTCTCTGAGTGCGTATCTGAGTTAGCTAATGTGTGCGTATGTGTGTGTGTGTGTGTAATGTTGCATTGCTTTCAGCGTCGTAAATTGTTTTCAGATGTGCTTGTAATTTCCAATTACTGTCGATGTGTCGTATCATCGTCATCGTCATCCATTATTATATTTGTTCTGATGGCTTTTTTTTTTATTTTTTCAATTTTATTGAAACTAATTTCAACTTTATATGTTAATCTGAGTATGTTTGCACATGTTGTAAATGCCAAAGTAACATCGAAAATTTTCTTGTTCGTTTGTTTATTTGTTTGTTTGTTTGTTTGCATAGCCATTTGAGTTGTTTGTTTAAAGCTGTTACTCTTGGTTTGTTGCTGATGTCGTTACGTTTCGTATTAACATGAAATCGCTTCGAAAACAATTGGAATAATTAATTTAGATTTATTATGTGTACTTAATTAGCAAAGAAAACAAATAGTAATTAAAAAAAATTTTATTTGAAATTATTTTATTTATTCAATTTTATAAAAACTTTTTGGTTAATCACAAATTTCCATTTTATCCCTCACCTACATTTAAAATAGATATTAACTCAACGAAGCTAAGTATGAGGGAAAAAAAAACTGTGGATGCATATATATATATATATATATCAGTTAAGAAAAAACCTGAGCTTAGTTACTTGCGTTAGAAGAGTCCAAACAAAAAACGCGCAAGTAAAAAAGTATTATTCAACTTGAGACGTACAAAACTCCCGGCATTATATTAACCATCGACGGAAAAACGCAAGGTAGCTTTAGCCAACAAGAATGCACACAGGCGTTTATACATACATTTAGGGCGTGTAACATAACATGGATTAGACCTTGCCAGACGCGTTACAAATGGAACAACAAAATTGATATACATACTATAGAGATTATAAGGTGCGCTATTGCCGGGAAAAACCAATGAAAATTTTTTCAATTGACACACGCTGGCATGTGCAGGTACGTCCGTCCGCTCGTCTGCACGAATTGCAAACCTTTCACTAAAATCGATTCTGAATGAGTGTTAAACGTTTTAGTCTGGACACCATGCGCCAGCTTAGCGAGTTTATTTTGCAAACAAAAGCAAACAAAAAAAGCATTAAACTTTTTGAGTGTTTAATCGTGCAAGTCATCAAGAAATGGGAGATTGTTGTACTCTTATTAAATCCGATCATATAATTGCTTTAGGTCTTTATGACATGATTTTTACAATCACTTTCTTGCCAAACGTTCTTAAATTTTTGTTAATTGTTCTACTGCTTTTATATATAATTAATTGAGTTCAAGTGGGTTCAAATTTGATATATATTTTTTATTAGTCTCTTGTTCTTCACATTCATTGCGGTCCAAAGTGAATGTGTTGCATTAAAAGCGCAGAGTGCATGAGAAGTTATTCATGAATTCTATTCTTGATTCGATATTTTCGTAGAAAACACTCTTAGATGTATTACGAGAACAACGACGACCAATAAGAAGAGCAACGAGAGGGAGGACTTTTGATGGCTTAAGGCCAAGACCATAATAGGAGAGGACAAGCATAAAAGGACACGAAAATATATATCAAGTGTAGAAACAATTTTTTATAGGCTTTTTCTAATAATGCAGGTTAGCCGGCAAAAGTGTACGCAGCCGCCAGTTGTAGTAGAGACACTACTGAACACAAAAACAGGAAATGGTTAGTTAGATGGTTCTCTCCATGCTTATGAACTCCTTTCTCCCTGGGCACGATCGCCATTTACACACGTAAAGGACAACTCCTGTTTGATGGGCCATCATTAAAAAAAGCGCTATCTCCTTGAAAAACGAAAAGAAATTATTTCTACATTTAATAGAGAGAGCAGAAGAGACTCTAAAGCCTAATGTATATTATTTTGATTGTGCGTAACGAGATAATAAAAAAGCGTTGACTCATTGATTGCATAAATTTTTGGAACTTTAATCCAATTTGTCAGTGGCTTATAGTAAAAAATTTCCCAAGATCCGTAGAAGGAGAGGTTTTTTGAAGTGTAACATTTTGTTGCTTAGTCCATTTCTATAGTGAAATCAATGACAGAAAAGGAAGATTGGATCTCATATTTGACCATTTGTGACCATTTGTTATTTGTGCTCTTTGCAAGAATCAATGCATTGAAGCAAATATGGCCGGTCTTAAGGGCTCGTATTAATCGAAAATAGAATTTTTTATTTTAGTTCCGTAATTGCTGAACTCTCTCTTGAGAACACAATACAAAGGCAGAAATGCAATGAAATAGAGTCTGGCTATTGTCATTGTTAAAGGCTTGGCTTGAAGGTGCTAACAGCATTAAATTGTGAAAGTTTTTAAAATTCCAGTTAACGTGGAAATGATATGAAACGCGTGAAAGTGTAGGATGAAAGCAATTTTAAAGTCCTATTCGCCTTTAAGCGGTTTAACTTCCTGATGATTCTGTAGAGTGGTTCCGTTATACCTTTGTACTCTTTCATCGAGTCATTGGCCAATAAAAGTGAAAGGTTTTCGTGTTCTTGTGATCATGACGAAGCGATAAGCTTTCTCGGTTGTGCCATTTAGTCAAGTATTTAATTTGTAGTTCTACTAGTTTTCTAATAATGCATAAATATTCAAGGTGTTCTCCGTTCTTGTCTATGTATGTATATACTGAAATACGTGTGTTTGTAATCACACGGTAACATTACTTTTAACGAGACTTGCGATTAAGGTTACCGACATACATAAGTATAAATGAAAATACATATATATATATATATATATATTTTGGTTGATAACCACGAGGTACTGGTTACTCAATTCTCATGATATAATGTAAGAATCGTTGGTGTTCTCATCGCAAAATAATTTCAATTATGTTTTTTTTTTTTGTGACTAAAATTGCAGTTAAAGAGTATTTTTCTATATTTGGCATTGTGTGCCGTTACACGTGCGCAAGATTATCAAGACTATCAAGAGAATGTGCCCAGACCTGCACCCGTAAGACTGCGCCCCAGTTCCAGTGCTATTGAACAACAATCTCGACCGACACCAGTACCAATATTGAAGCAAATCAATAAGTACGGTTGATATATCATTTCGAATTCAATTGACATCATATCTTAAATTCGGCAATTTTCCCTTGCTTAGGCACAACGAAGATGGTTCCTACACGTATGGCTTTGAAGGTGCTGATGGCTCATTTAAAATAGAAACCAAATTGGCGACTGGTGAGGTGAAAGGTAAATACGGTTACGTGGATGAGACGGGCAAAGTACGCGTTGTGGAATACGGCGCCAACAAATACGGTTTCCAACCGTCCGGCGAAGGTATAACAGTGGCTCCGCCTACTTTAGTAGATGAGACTAGGCAAAGGGAATTGCCTGATTATGAGGACGAACCACCGAACAGACCCCAAAGGCCGATTGTGAGTTTTTCATATGTGAGGCCCAAAAGTGTATCTATTGGGTCTAATGGGTCTATTGATAATGCGTGCATTTTTAATTTTTAGCGTCCAAATCGTCCTCAACCTCAATATAGGCCAGCTCCTCCCCCACCGCCACCACGCCCTCAACCGCAATATGTACAGTATGAAGACGAAGAAGCAGAACCCGAACCACCACGCAGACCTCAATACAATGCCCCACCACCAGCGCCCAAATCGTCATTGGGTCCGGCGCCACCGAGAATTCAAATAGCTGGTGCTCAACGTATTTCGGATGTAGTTTACTCACCCGTCCAGAAAGCGGCTCGTCCCGACGCCGAATATTCCCAGTCGACGGTAATTTGACCCACCTCTATGAAGACATTCATCTAAAATGTTTTTTTTTTGTAGTCTTTTGGTGATGCACCGACAAATGTTCGCATTTCACGGCCAGTTTATGCGCCCGCTCCTGCGCCGCCCTCACCCTCCAGTGCTCGTGCTCAGGGTTTCTTAGGTCCTGCTGCGGGTGGTCGACCACATTTGGAACCGTTCCAATTTGGACCATCACCCGCACCGCGTGCCGCTCAACCAGCACCCCAACCACGCTATCAGCCTCAATATCAAAGCCGCAGCGGGGGTGGGAGCCTTTTAGATCAATTGGCTCGGGACTATGCCTTACCCGAGGGTACCGCTCAACCATTGCACGATATATCTTTTGGTTACTATTAAACGTAAAAATTAGTTAAGGATGTGTGCGCCTTAAGTGGTCAGTAGCAAAAAAAAAAAGAAAATGAAAAGTGACAAAAAGACAGAGAGAAAGAGAGAAACAGAGAGAGAGAGCGATATCGAAAGAGTGAACTAGGAATTATTGTTTTTAAAAAAAGTCATTTGGTCAATATTTACAGTTATCGAGTGTATTTTGAAATAATACTATTTTTGATTTGTTATTCAAAATTGCCGTTAAAATTACTACAAAGTGAAATTTAATTAAATTTAAATAAAAAACAATTTACATAAAAAATAGTATAAAGAGTAGTGTAAAATATTATATTTCAAGTACAAAAGTTTCAATTTTACTTTGCAGCGTTTGCTTTGGAAAGTTTACAAAGCTTATTAGCAGTTGGTTTTCAACTTGTGCAATAATCCGTTTACTTATATATAAAGAGAAATTTTAATGTTAGTTTCTTTCACGGCGTTCTTTGAACGTTCTTCCTATAGCACGAAATACTTATAAGGGAAAAGGAAATCCATGGAATAAAATTTGAAAAGTACTTGTGCTTCGACTGTGAAATGTTCATAACTTCACAAAATTCTTCAAATCTTCTTGTTAATATTTTGTGTTTCATATTGTTTTATGCGCAAAGAAATGATAGAAATTTTTGCAAAATTCTTTTATGTAATTCTACCTGTCTTACTGTCTGAAGACGCACCAGACCCTTTGGCGTTTGTTTACGGTATTGCACAATGGGAGAGGGGGAAGGAAACGGTGGAAACCTTAATAAGTTTCCATTCAATCTAGAAAATTATAACGACTTCTTTAATTTCGTATCGTTATTGCACTCGTCTGCCTTCCAAAAAAAAAAAAAAGAAAATCCACAAAAGCTTACAAGCAATTAACATTATCTGTATGCCACAGAGGGAAGTTTGGTGTTCATTAATGACCTCTAAACACCACGCAAGACTTAAAAAGGAAGTTATTATTACTATTACATAATACATTTCGACCGAAGAAATACGTTCTAGGATTAAAAAGTAGGATGATCACCAATAACCGACACTCAACACCTCCAAGCAACAGTAATTTATTGCGCTGCTCGCATGAATTTGTTCAGAAAACTGTGGTAGCAAACGTTATCCCTTAATCTCAAGTTATTCAAGCCGTTTGAAAAGTAAAATTACTTTCTAAAGCTAGTATCCTAAAAGCGCTTATGTTTCGATTTCTTTTTTCGTAAGGAATTTACTGAGTTCAACTCTGTCAACTTGATCGAACGATCGGACAGAAGGGAAAGTTCGAATTTTGTCTTCCCAAGAAGGCCTGGATTTTGGTTCACACATAAGTTTATATAAAATACATTTGTAGATCTTAAAGGCAGCCCTACGACTGATACGCGTCGACTTCCTCTCCACGTGGCAGATCATTGAGCACATCGCTGTCTAGGTTTTTTTGTAATTATTAGACGACATACAAACACATTTATTTGATTAACAGTAAAATAAAATTTATTTTTTCTAATTTTATGCTTTTATATAAGATAAATTTCTTTAAACTATACAACTATAGACGAATAAAAATATTTGCTTAAATGCAAGCGAGTAGATAATAAATACTTGAAAGTACTTTGAGATGAATAAAGAGAAATACTTGAATCTACAGATACTATATGTACATACATATATATATATATATATATATATATGATGAATTAAAGAGAAAATCGCGATCAAGATCACATAAGTTACTGATAAAAACCAAAATTGTTAGCATACGTTGCGGCTGCTCTCGCAAACTTCGGTCACAAACCAATTTCAAGATCACGGTTAAATCATTTTTATCGGTAGATAATTTCGAGATGAATGCAGTCGAGCTGGTATTCAGTTCCAGATAAGTTTAAATTACTGAGCTATAGCTTTAATGGTAGAAAAAAGCTGAAATGTAGAAAAATTGTTCATTAAAATGCAATAGAATTTAAATAAAGTTTAATCAATAGTAGTTTCCTTTTATGGTGGGTAGGTAAAGCATGAAATATTTATTAAGTGCATGATTTTTTCTAATAAGTGCAACTATTATAAATACAAGTATTTATTTGTTCATCTGTGTATGTGTGTTTTAATAAATTATATAAATAATGCTTACGTTCTAAATTCTAATAATAAAGTATACATATGTGTACATAAATAATGAAAACTTAGCCTACAGGACTGGAGAAGAATTGCTTCGTAGTGTTTGTTAATAAAAATCTCCCAACAGACGCGTGAACAGAAGCGAATCCTGACTATCGTAATCATAGCTTTTGTACTTCGATGCCATACGTTTGCGTCGTGCGTTTTGTGCACTGGATGGCATTTGACGATGCGTTTTATACGATGCCCGACGATCGGAGGGTGATTTATAAATAGTGTAATAATCTGGCTTTGATGGTGCGGGAGGATAGAAAATGTATTTAGTTTTCTTCACTACGGGCGTTGCATACGACAGTGCTGGACCTGCTGGCGGCACTTTGTGTACACTTGTTTCCAACGCATACGATACACTTGCTGGCTTCACGGATTCATCGCGTTTTACCGCTTGCAAAGCAGCTATTAATGTTGTTAAATCTTTTATAGGGATACTACTTGCCCCATTTTTACCGACATCAGTTCTCTCTGTAACTGGCAACGCATGATAATTGACATATTTGTAATCGTTATCGAAATTTTCTTCGTTTTTTATCGAGTTGTACTCGTATTTCTCATTGGGATGTTTCTCGATATAAATATCTTCCGGGGTTCGTTTTTGCTTGTGCATCTGGTGATAAATGTCACTTGGGCTTTTATAGATCGCTTCATGTCGTGCGGGTGCATAAGCGGCGGTAATTGATTCGATATGTGATAGTGATTCCAAATTACCCAAATGATTGGTGCTTAGAGCGTAGCTATGCGAATCTGCATTAGTTCCCGGGCCCGTATGATAATCGATCGTTTTCGAAGCGGTTAATTCGGTTTTAGTAATCGGCAATAGACTTAAGATTTCTTGTAACTGTGCGGCGGCTTTCCGTGCCTCTTCGTCTGTTAGTTTCTTATGACGTCCATATATATTGAAATCATCTTGTCCTATTTGATATATTGTTGTTGTTGTTGTTGTTGTTGTTTTTCATATATGTGTGTATTCATGTGAAATAAAGAATGCCATTAAAAATTATTCATATGTTTATCATTAGCATCAAATTTTAGTAGTACCTTTAGCTTGTGTGAGTGTGTATGTTGTCAATATTTAAGTATGCAAGTGGGCATGTGTATAGGTGTGTAGAAATTGACAATGCGTATTGTTTTATGTAAATATGTACAGTTGTAAGTACTTTGTGTTACTTATAATTACTTTTAATTAACGAAATAATTGCGAAAACTTAACGAAATATCTTAAGTGATTATATATAACTTGAAATAAAATCTTTTTTTTTTTTTTCTATTTCAATTATAAAAAGACAAATCTGTTTTCAATTAAAACATTCATCCAAAAAAGTTAAAATTGTAATAAATCGCTTGCGCAGCTCCTTTTTCGCAATCAATTTACCATTAATACGCTTAATCTTACTCTAAGCTCAAGATTGATGGTAGATATCTGCAACTATGTTTGTTTTTTTTTTTCTTTTTTTTGCATACTCATTAATGGTTTAAGCAGTTAGGCAATGTTTCGTCGGAGGGTCGGTTGATCACTACGTTTCATTATCTTTTTCTCCCTCAGCTTATTGAGCTCTGCTACCGTAAGCCCTCGGCTAATCTATTCAGTCATAAAAAAATCTAAAAAATGGAATTCTTAAAATATAATTGCAGATGATAGCAGGTGTCAGGATATTTGTCATAAATATGTCTGTCTCAAGCTGCAACTCACTAACATTAAATAAAAACTTGGTCATGCTTTTCTATTTGCCTCGTTTGAGGTAATGGCAGGTCTCGTGCGTAGGCGGCTTTGACGTTCCTATTAATTGTTGTATAGTTGTTCCAGTAGAAGACCTTATATCTTTCATATCTTTAAGATTGATATATCTTTCACGAACTTTCCAACTGCAGACTCACAGTTCATTAACGAAAATTTAAAAGATCTTTAAGCAAATTTCTAATAAACCCTGTGATGACCTGAAGTTTCCTCTGATAAATAATTGCAAGTCTCATGTGCTGACTTTTCACCCATCTCCAGCAGATAGGAAATTTATTAAATTTATTCTTAGAAACTAAAAAAAAAATAAATAAATAAATAAATAAAAATCGATTGGATTTTGCTTATATGTACAAATCTTATTATTAAATGAATTTATATATACAGACCCATATATATATATATAACAGCGCTGCATTAACATTAATATATATTCATAGTATTCATGTGTCGAGTCGGTAATAAATACCAAAATGGCAGGAAATAATTGAAATCAACACTAAGGTATATTATTAATACAACCAAACTAAAATGCGAATTATGTAATGCGATTAGTAATAAAAATAATAATAACAATAAATACATATATTGCCGAAATTTAATCGTTTTAAAGTGCAAGCGAACACAAACACGTTTTCTAAACCGCCATGAAATAGAAGAAGAAGAAGACAAAGAAGACGAAGCAAATTTTTAAGCTCTTTCAAAATATACGTAAATGAATGTAAAAGTAAGTAGTAGTGCTGAGGTCACAAGCAGCAATGACTTAAGTAATTGATGCGAATAAGTGAGCAAGGGATAGAGGCGGAAAGAGAAAGAGAGTGAGAGTGAGAGTGAGAGTGAGAGAGAGCGAGATGAAAACGGAGAGAGGAGAAAAAAAAACAGAAATTGAACGAGAGAGAGAGAGAGAGAGAGAGAGAGTAGAAATGATTATGTGTGTGCTTTCACTTTCGTTGCGGGCTGGTTTATACTAAAATCGGAAGTTGGAAATGTTGTTATTGTTTTTCTATTTTTATTTTTATTTAGCCGGTTAGCGAACAACATTCATAGTTTTGTTTTGTTATTTGCCTTTTCTACTTATATATTATTGCACATACGACGTAACAATGTAATCGAAACCCAATATGCCGTTCACAGTATTTGTATTAATATCGATGTTATTATATATTTTGCTTATTGAACTATGTATTCGTTGTTCGATGCAAAAAAAAAAAAAAAAAAAAAAAAATGAAATGTTTATACACTTGAATATATATATATATACGTATACATATGAAATAACTATTATTATAATAAGGCCTGATTGGTTTATAATGCCTTTGTATTTACATAAAGTTTTATTGATTTCATTTTTAGTTTATAAAAACTTTACTATAAATGGATGCATTATTAAACCGAAATGTCAACTAATCTTTTTTTGCGTTGGTCTTGCTTTCGTTTTTACATTCATACATTTTATTATTAAAAAATTATTGCATGCTATGATTTAGTTAATCAATATTTCTTCAACCGCAACCGTTTAATGAAAATATTTGCAAATGAAAATTATTTTTTATTCACTTTATTTATTTATATATAAATTGCGTATACGTACCATTAAGTCCATACGAACTTGGCAAATAATTGCTTGAGGGCGCTTCGAAAGCAACATGGCCGCCATGACTGAAACCTGCACCTACGCCTCCACCGGATGGCGCCAAATATTGCGGTTTGGGGGGAGGACCATAATTGCCATGACCACCGCTCGGTATTTCGTAGCTTGTTATCGCTGCAAATAACATAATTCAACATGTATTGTTATTCCATTCATAACCCATAAATTTTTGAAAATCATCCATAAACCGATTTAATTATCGCTTGAAAAAATCATTTCATTTTTTAATTTAATCACATTGTATACATGAAACTATCATGGATTTTGCAATTTTCACATTTATATTTTCCCGTTTCGCATGAAACCGATAGATATCGTAATTAAACTGCAATTTATTACAGTCAAGAGGGAGTTGACGGTTTTCCGAGTGCAGTTTGTTAGGGTTTCTAAACTTTCGTTGATTGAGTTTTCCCATGTTCTCTACCTTAACGACGATTCCTTTACTACGGGAACTCTCCGTAGTCTTTACTTTATTCTTGTAAGCAGACAAAGATTTTTATTAACAGAGATTTATGTTTAACAAGCCTTTCTGTACTGGACCTTACTTCGATTTTCTTAATGAGCCTAGAAATAAGGCCTAGTAATTTTGCGATACTACTTCTAATGCTCGGTACAAAATACTTTTAGATTGGCCCTCGTCTCGACTTCTCGTCTTCCTAGACCCGCTTACTCATGCATCTTAGCGGCGTTCGTTCTCTCTCTCAGACGTCCATCCACATGATGGACCGTCCGCCCATTAGGCGCGTGCTACGTGTCGCCCCAGCGGTGTGTTTGAACGTTTACCTTACTGTCTGTTAGTGCAGCAACGATCTCAATCTCTATTGCTAAAAATTTCTGAATATCTGTGGTTAGCTTAAGAATCAAGAAGAGTTAGAAATCTGCAAAATATTGCTGCGACTCATAACTCATGACTTATGGCCCCAAATTTCTCCACAAATGTTTAAGAAAGTTTTCTCAAAGCTTAGTGCGAAATGGACTCAACTAACTCACTGCGTAGCCTTAAAGATTTTTGAGAATATTTTATCCCAAAACTTAACCCAACAAAGAATAAGGAGGAACTGCAGCACTCATAGTAAATTGGAAAGGCTTCTTACTTATATCGTTTCATTTCTTGCCTTTTCACTTGTACCATCCCATTTGTGAATGTAGTGGCGATACGCGACTTTCTCATAACGCATCTCGGTATGCAAGATGCCAAAAATTTTGTATAGATTAACAAAACAACAATTCATATCTGTCGTGTTGTTTCTTTCTCACACCTGATCAATTCATACAAATACGGACATTTTCAGTCAACATGTTTGCTATCATTTTAATAATAAATTAAATGTATACGCGAACCACAATCGCTCTCCCGATGGTAATGTGACTGAATGCTGTTACAACAACCGTATGCGGCAGACATGCGTTATGTCAACGACATGCAGATAAAAGTGGTTTATGTGCATTGCCACATAACCGCAGCAGCGCGAATATTCCCATAAACGCATCCGTTCTGATACGTGTTTTATAATAAAAGTGTTCCTGCAACATTTCTACAACTATTTCGGAGATGCGTTTGCATACCATTTTAAAAATTTATTGAAAAGTCAGAATGTATTAAATCAAATCTTAACCGATAGCAGTTTGTTATGTGCAGTTAGGGAAACTTTTGAGTTAGTTGTACTTTTCAAAATAACGTAAAAGATTCAATTTTTGCATTTGCATGTAATGCAATCACTTTCCCATTTTGCTAAGACTTAAAGGTAAATGTATGCCGCCTGATAAACACTTTCTGGTCACGTTGACTATACGCACAAGGGAAATATTCCTGTGGACGCAGTGAGTCCTTAACTTAAGTCTTATAATTAAACTTACTGTCTGTGTGCACAACATGACCACCAGATGGCTTGCCGCCACTACTGCCAGCCGAGGAGGCACCTGATAACGAAGAGATTTTGGCAAAAGGATGTTGGCCACCGCCACCGCCACCGCTTGGTGGTGGGTGTACTTTACTTGCTGCCGAATTAATGATAATTTTGCCGACATCAGTAATCTTGTCACCCGATGCGGCTGCCAAATGCCCGCTAGCGCTTAACGCATACCCACTGCTCTTAATTAGTTGACCCTTTAAGGCAGTCACACCGCCGGTAATGGCTTTTACCGCCGTCAATATTGTATTCAGTACGGATTTTTTCAATGACCATGGATCATACTCAATAGAATTAATCTGCAATGTAATAATGAAAAATACTTAAATGTTTACTGTATAATGCTTACATGGTGACCGTCTCCATGCGGTTTGTAGCTATAACCTCCACCACTACTCGCTCCTGAACTGCTTGAGGCGACCGCGGCCGAGGCGTGACCCAAACTTGACAACAGGCCGCCTTTTAGGTGCACTAAATAATCCGTGCTACCGCCTGAACGTTTTTGAAGATGTGCATCTTGGGCTGACGCCGCTTCATCATTGTCCACATTCACATCTTCCAAAGATTTATCATCGTCGCTGCTGGGATATGGATATGGATATGCTAAAAGTGGTAGCGTCATCAGTACAAAGTAAAGCAACTGAAAATAAAATCAAAAAATAAATTACAAACAACAAACAAAAAAAAAAAACAGTTTTGATGATTGAAATCTACTCCAAAAGTTGTTCACATTACACGCTATTATATACATTTCGTAACAGTAACATGTGCAGACATGTATTGCAGACTTTTAAAAAGTTGTGATGTTTGAAATTAAAATCGATACAGTACGTTTCGCTTAGTTAATATAAGCTCTTGTTACATGGGGTCTGTGTAAAAAGTATTCGGAATAGTTAGAGAGAATGCGAATTAATTAGTTAAGTCGATTTCTAAATAGCCCGCATCAATAAAATTTGCAATGTAACGCATCACTTCACATTTCCAATACGACTTGGTTAGCTTTCGTGACTCAGTGCTTCTAACATCTCCCGCATAGACTGGCCAAATAAACTTTAAGAACCTTCCAATGCCTTTCGGTGTATGACAAACAGGTCCACTTGACATCACTCGATGATAATACATACCGCAAGTATGCTAACATAGTGCTAATTTTCAGTATCAGTCCTCGTTGGTGCACAAAAACTGTAAGGGGTACCACTACTTGGAACTCCTTGGCGATCTGCTCCATTTTCGCATTGTCTTATTGATAAATACAATTTTATAAGTTTTAAATTAACTTCTACTATGGATTAAGTGTACACTCCTTCCATTACCTCGGACAAGGTGTTTTGCCGAATCACGGACGTTTCCAAATCCGAGCTGATTATCCATTCGAGACATTTATCAATGGACTTGAGCTTTATGTCTTAATTGTTACTGGGATGGACGAACAGACGGAATTGTTATTGGCTTTTAGCTTGAATTCTTAGAAAACTTTTCAGAAATATCAGGAGGCGTTTGCGAACCGTATTTGATGTTAAGATTAGTGGCATAAAATTCATTCAACGATACTCGTAGCTTGTCTAGCAATGACAAAAGATGAAATTAATCGACTTTATGTTATTTCGATTTCAACTACGAAATGCTATCAGTTATCTATCTGCATAGCTCCCAGTCAGAAGTATTGTGAAACATATCAAAAGTAATAAAATTGTAGAAAATAAAAAACTTTTTTCCAAGATTCGGTTCCCTTGCAGTCTATTCAATTCGTAACTGTTAAAGCTTATTCACATATTGAAATGATCGACCAGTAAAGTGTAATTGCTAGTTTACCCGCTTCAATTAAATGCATTTAATCGTATTTGAAAAAATCTTCTGTGCATGATTAGCCGTCAGCACATTTCATAACATCCGATAAAACATTTTTCTGCTTGAATTATTATCAACTCAATTGTAGCGTAACAATTATCATTTAATTGCACACATTTAACATAGTTCGGAAAAAAGAGTTTTCGAAAACAACAACAAAGTGAGAAAGTGATGGTTTCCTCGAGGCGAATTTTGCATACCCATCATGTCGAACACATATAAAATAAGTCATTAGGTTTCCCTCTCATTGTGCCCTATCGCAACTCGTTTGGAGCCGAAGAATATTTAAATCATTCTGATAAGTTCTTCTTCATACATACATATATAATGTAATATATCGTAATATAAAAGTTATTGAGATCAGTTTTGTAATCTTCTCGCATCTGTTTACGGGCGAGTTACATTCATATTGAAATTAACATAAGATCAAATATATCTGCTGTTGGAAGTTCAAATACTCCTCGAAGTCTACACGATGTACGGCATACTGCGTAACTGCTTAATAACAAACGCTACGACAACATTAGTACACTTTTTTAATACTGATAGGTATATGGCTATCATATAAGTACGTGCAATAGTACATAAGAGATTTGAACGGCAAATAATCTTAATTAATGACTTTTCCGTTAGCGGTCAACATCATAAAAAAGTAAACAAAATCCACCCAAGACAGGTAAAGAGAATTCGTATGTAAAAGTATGTACATGTGTATGTATACAATACCACTTTACAAATGCGAAATCAAATTCTTCTGACCTTAGAAGGTTAAGTAGAAGGTGCGCTTAAAAGTGATGTCGATATGTAGGCAGTAAGACAAAACAATAACGTTGCGTGACAGTTGGACTAATGCAGGCGTAAGTTTGCAGCTAAAGCAGTTGCTTAGGACGAAAACATGTCTTTAGTTTTGAGTTATATGAAATATTTGCATTGACAATATAAAAGCCTTGGCCGTTTTGTTGTTTCTTTTCAAGAAATTTTGCAGTGATTTTGTTACAAACAAACAACTGTGAAAATGTTAGGAATACTTGTTTGGCTTAAGCTAAGCGATGTACTAAAAATGAAACAAGTCCGCTATTTTTCACGGCATTAGTGCCTTCTCAACGATTCGCTATGTCTTGTAGACCTTGGATGTGCACGCAAAGGAACCGAGAGGACCTCAAAACCTAATGCATACCTTCTGTGTCACTTTTCTACCTATCGAAAATTGAAATCTAACCAGATCAAAACGTCTGCAACCTTCTCGATTGCGAGCAACGAACTTAGCATCCAATATGGACAACATAGGCAATTGCACCAATAAAAAAAAAAAAAATACTTCAAATTATATTCGCATGTGTTAGTGTTATGCGAATTAGATAAAAGCAATCACAACCGGCATTCAACAATCATAATAAACCTGATTGAACCTTATTTAGTATGCATGTGAGTGTGCATTTAATAAGTTTCGAGAGTCAATTATTACCTGAGTTCAAGTTATTAGCAAGGAAAAAATTACAAAACGCAGCAATTCATGCGAAAATGCCAGTTTCCCGCAAACCAATTTCCCAAGGCAAAGAAAAAAAAACAAAAACAAACAATATTGATCTCAACAAGTTGGACGTGTTGTTACCTGTAACCACTTATAACCAAGAAATATCAAATTTGTTAGGTCGTTATGGCGGCGTATTCACGATTGCGTAGACCTACGCCGGTCAGCGCGTTAATGCAATAACGTGTAAAAGTTAACTTATAATATATGATTAGCTTTATGCTGATATGCATATCTGCACATATTGTAAGTCAATGTCAATAAGTGCAAAATAAACCACGTGAACGAGTGCACACTTTCTCTATTGCAATTTGTTTCATTCACCCTTGAATAACCCGGTGTTTTAAACTTGTTCTATTGTGTGTAACATTTAAGCTAGAAGGCTTATCTGCCGCTGGTATGCTGTACCGATATGCTTTAAGGACGGAAACACTTTTTTTAAAAAGTCATTCTTTGAAAAGAGTTCACAATTTTGATAAAATTAATGGGAAAAATTTGAATGGGAACAAGAAATAGTTTATGGTATTTTATCCCGAAAATATATGAAGAATTGTATTACGCGAAGTATTGTGAGGTACTTAAAAGCTACCTCAATTTACTGTCATGTTTTATGCTTGTAGTAGTAGATGCACGTATACATTGCATTATAAAAGATTTTCAAATGATTTGAAAGTTAATTATGTCCTACTGTTTACAATCCTTGCGCCTTACTCAATGCGTCTTTTATCTCTCTTATTATCAGGTTTACGTTCGCCAATGTTAACATAGAACACCACATTTCTTTTTGTTTTTCTTTCTGCATCACCTCCGCACCCTATCATATAGAATCAAATATAGAGACAAAGCACTGACTATTGCTTTCGTTACATAACGTCCCGTGTGTTAAGCACATGAAGTCGAAAAGTACATTCCTGTGAGACAATGTATAGGGACAACAAAGTCTCTTCAACACCAGATATGTGTAGTGACTTACAAAAAAACCAAGTGAATATGAAAGAAGTTTTGTAGAGAGACGTCCTTATGAACACATAGTTCTGGATATATACTATCAGTTCCATTATATGCGGAGGAATTTAGCAAAGGATCTCTATTTACTCTTGTTCGTCTGCTTGTCTTGCCATTATTTCTTTCGTAGAAACTGTCTACAGAATCCAAAAAACCCAATGTAGGTCTCGCCGCTAAGACGCAGTTCCAAATGAATATTATCGTGTTCTGCAAGGCCTCAGTACAAATTTATCAGCTGCTATAATCTTCTTGCCTTCTTTGTGCAATCACCATAATAAAGAGGTTTTAACCATTCCAAGAATATATTCTAGAATCGAATATTCTAGAATCTAATCGGTAAATTCGTGTAACCACCGTAAATACTTGTCCTTGAATTTACAGTTTGCTCTATACTTAATAAACTTTTCCGTCTTTTTGTGATGCCAAGTGATTATTATTATCAAATATGACAACGCGTTCAACGGTTCGCTTGTCGACACGATTATATGAGCGGGCTGAGCAATAGCACAAATGGTTGAAGGTTAGTTTACAATTTTGCATTATTTGTAGGCATTTTTGACCGACTAGTAGAGTTTGGCGGCTTAAAAATCTAAATTGAAAATAACGAATATAATCTCGGATGAAAACTATTCTACGGCCAAGATGAACATTTCGTTCTTTTTTGTTGTTGTTTAAATTGAATCGTTACCAACATTCATGAACTTGAATTTTTTTTTTTTTTGTTTTCATTTTATGCTTATGTTTGAAACAATCTCTTCATACTTCACTACTTATTTGGTTAAAGCAACTTTGGAACACTATGGTTTTTTTTTTAATTTAAGTTTTCACTTTGATAAAACAAAGGAGGAAAATATTGGGCAGGAATTTACACGCAATGGAATCAAACAAACTGCTTATGCTCTGCTCTACCGACACTATTTGTTTTGACCTTTTTTTGTTTGTTATTATTATCGAACAAAAATGTTAAGAAATTTATAATGACACTAAATAAATAATTATTGAATCGAATATATTGAACTCAACAGCATCAAATGGCATAGTGCACACTCGCACGCACGCACGCACGCACAAATTTTTTTTGTTTATTATAACACTTTCACCCATAATACTTTCAAAAGGTAACGAAAGAAAATTTATGTAAAACGTGATCATATGCAACAACAACAACAATGTTGCGAAGACGATGCTCTAATCCAATTTAACACTATATATATTTTCTTGAAATTCTTGCATATGCCTGCTCATGCGTGATATTGAGTTATTCATCTTCTCTGCCGTTACGTAATCATACTTACCTTCATTTTTGTATTCTTTTTTTGTCTTTGTTTTGTTTGTTTCAAACCTGATGAAAATCGTTTTTAAATTTTCGTTAATTTGTTCAATTACGTAGCGTATTCGCCGTAATTTATTAAGCGCTTGTAACGCGTCCGTTATGTTTGATTTCTTTTACAAGTTTAACGGCTCTTACCGGCTCAGATAATGCTGAGAGCTTGAGCAGTAAATACTTAACGAATTTTGTTTTCTCTATGCTTTACTTTCGATTTTCTTAAGTTTTTATGTTTTTTTTTTTTTTTTTTTTGTTAAAATATTTTTATTATCGAAAACTTTCTTTCCTCTTCTATCATTTACTTTCTTCTTTGTTTTTTCAGTTTTCAAAGCAGACTGCGTTGGCAACACTTTCTTATGCGCTCTGCACTTTCTTATCCGATTACATCAGATGACTCAATTTCGTGTTGAGTTGTTGTGTTAGAAATGTTTTTTACTCTTACGTTTAATTTCAATTACACGCTTGCGTGTTTTGCTTTCAATTAAACGATGATGTCGATCGTCTAATGTCTTGAATCGAATTGTTTGGTTTTTCCATTAAGTGTGTGTCTTTTAAGGAAAAATTTTAATAGATAACCAAATGCTCGGTTGAACGTTTGGCTGAAATGCGACGACTCTCTTCATAAACTCTTTTGTTACTTCTACACTTTGCTCTAAGCAAACGTAACCAAATACTCAATGGCGGCCTGTTTGTGTGTTAAGGATGCTTTTTTTTTAGAGTTAAACTTTAGCGAGTGCGAAAATTTAGTTGAATACCGTTGAAAATTAGCGGTAAACTTGGTTTCCTCACATAACATTTATTTTTTTTTTTTTTAATTTTGATTTAATCATGAATTTAGTTTAGTTAACCGATACCACAACTGAATCTTTGATATGCTCTCAATGGCTTGTAATGTTCAGTGTATTAATTGCTCTTACGGTTTTTTTTTTTCTCAACAACATTTGACTGATGAGCTTATACTCATGCTTATATGTGATTTCTGCAGTTGTTTATGATGCTTTGTTTAGCGTCGAATGACGAACGTGTTTCCTTGAAAGCAAATCGGTTATGTGCGTATCTGTTCATGTTGCAATCACTGAATACAATTATCAAGGTTCCGATGGTCTAGAAAATATTAAGCCTTTCGAAGCAGATTCTTATTCATATACATAAACATTAGATCATGTTAAGATCGTAAATGTTTATTTTACAGTTTGATGTAAAGTTAGAAATCGAGATGATCTTAAACAGAAGACTTAAGCAACAAACTTGCTATCGTGCTGTATCAATTTCATTTAATTCTTAGTTTTATAACTCTCAGTAAAATAATTAAGAAAAATAGAGTAAATGATTTTCCGCTTTCATCTTTTTGAAAAATTTATTTTATACAAAATTAAATGCAATTAATTTCCATTGAATAAATACAAAGAAAATTTATTAAGTATTTCGTGCCAAAATTATGTATAAAAATTCGCTCTTTAAAAATATAGCAATTAATACTAATTAAGAAAGAAAAAAAACAAGAAAAGCGTGTTCGTTTTACAAAACGAATTTCAGATACCCGTCACTCATTTAAGTTGAAAAAATTTCTCAGTTAAGGCAAATTAAAGGCAATCCCATAAACTGAACGCAATCTTATGTAACCTAAAGTATTTAATCTTTTCTTCTATATTCTTCCATTCGTAAGAGATTAAATGCACTAAATGCATATGAACCGTTTTACATCGGTGTTCAGGTATCGGAAGCAACTATCCAAGCTTGCAAAGAAAAAATGAAAATTAGTAAATTGAAGGCCTACTCACATGTGCTCGTCTTAGATACTTGCAACACTGACATAAAATGAAATAAATTCCAACTATTATATGCATTCTATAAGCGAGCGCCAAGCAGCGACAGGTGCAGGGGTAGGGGTATTTATGATTTTTACAATACCTTCAATGCTATATGTCAGATAGTAAACTAAACACACCTTGTGAGCGTAAAAATGGAATTAATTCGCACATAGACGTTTTAGGGGTTTTTGAGCAATAGCGCAGACCAGCTGATGACTGCATTGTATGCATTTTTTCCACTTCATACACATCCAGTCATTTTGAATGGATTACGCGAGGTAAAAGTCTGCAAGATATGTATGTAGTGCGCATATAGGTAGCGAGGTTTATAAAAAACATGTCACATCATAAATATGCATGCGTGCAACATTAAACACTTCGAAATGAGGTAGAATGAACAAATACAAGTTACAATGAGTAGATACATGATTTTTTTCCTTTTAATTTTTTTTTTTTTTTTTCAGTTTCAGTATTAGATAACAAAATTTCATTTGTATTATAGATGTGTTTGGTTAAGGTAAGCATTTATAATTTCTGTGTTAATTAATTATTAATTCATGTTTAATGTAGGTTTGCTATGTCTGCTCAAATCTTAAATCGGAATTATTTCTTTACAATGTTTCAAGACATCAGAGTTTTGTTACACTTTTAAACAATTGCGTGTAGAGTAATGATGTTTACTAGTTTTGACTTTTAAATTGCTTGACTGTTCATTAATGTACTAATAAACTCTTTCCAAAAACTTTAAATGTAAACTATGTCATTCAGCTGTCTATTAAATTGCGAAAATATTGATAGGTCAACTTTAGATGGCTTGAGCTAAAAATTGAACTGTCATATACAAATATAGATAGCTAGATAAATAGTAAAGTAATTCATTGACATACTTTGACTTTAATTTGATGAGCAAACACAAATAGCGGCAATGATTCGATTTTTTCCAATACATTATCCACATGAATGTTAGTTAAGCCATCCAGACAATTTTTTTTAAAACATTTGCAGAGAGAATGTGAAGACAAAGTCATAATTAATTCGCAAAAACTATCTTAATAGAGTTCTGTAGAGTCTTCAACATAGCTCCGTTAGCTACTTAATAAAACTGCATATGGAAAAGTGTCGGAATACAATTAGGTTTAGAGAAATAATTTGTCGAAACTAAAATATTTCTTATGTTTTGTAAAAGTCCTGGGAATCTGTATGAAAATACGTGTAAAGAAAGGAAATGTTTCTTTCAGGAAACGCTTCTAAAGAGTGTTTTCAACTGAGTGGGTTAACGGCAACCGTTTGCTGTCTCTACAACTAAATTATTTGAAGAAAATTTTGAAATTGCATAAGCAAGCTGATCTTCGGAAAATCGTCAACTTTGAAGCCAAACTAGGGAATGCCGCTCTTTTCCATATTTTCCGTACATGACAAGAGTCCATTTCAAATGATTTCGGCTAAGCTGAAGGATTCTTCTTTTCTAATAAATACTTCCGAATGCCCCCACTAGCCCGCGAGTCTTCCCTATCTCTTCCTCTTTTCTTACTTCTTTCTAGCCGTCACCTTGTTACATATCTCAGTGGTAGATATTCAGCTTCCATTAACAATCATTCTCATTAATGAAACCATTTTTTTCTCGGGTTATTCGCTACTGCAGTCATAAAACTAAACTGTGGGAGGGAACTGGGATTATTCTTCGTTTTGAAACGAACAGGGATGGCCGCCGACAGTCTAAGACCGTGGCTGAGACAAATTCAAATTCAGAAGTGAGCTTCGTTAAAATTTTCGTAATTTTGGGCGTGTCATTAATTTTCAGCTTCCCTTCGGAAACCGACACTTTCCCCCAAACTTTCGTAATAAACTTAATGTAATTTTTTTTTTTTTTTTTAAATTAAGAGAATTTTACCAATGTCGATGCATTAAGAGGTTCGCTCTAGATCGCATATCACTTCCTTCTGGTCTTTTCTTCCTTTTTTTCTCATGTTTCGCGTGAATGCAGGAAACGGAAATTCTCAACTTGTAATTTATCATTTGTTCAAAGATTTTTGGTTTTACATAACGCCTTACTACTACTAGACTGACTGAATGTGAACTTCATTTTTGGAAAATAGTTTTTTGTCTCAAGTTTTCAAGCTTTTCAATTCCTCTGATTTGTGTTAATATATGTGTAATATCATTTCGTTTGCGTAATGAGACTGTCCCCTCCTCTCTATCAAAATTACGAACACTCTCCTTATTTGCGAAACGCTTGCAATCTTCACCTGGCATCATTGCTATCGTTTTTAAGCCACAACATTTTTATAACCGTTTTGCCTGCTTTTTTGCACTTTGTTTATTTATTTATTTTTAAAGCATTTTAGAAAAAAAAAAAAAAAACTGGTTACAAATACAAATACTTCCGCCAAACTTATTGCACACTTCCGAATTTGATGGCAAGAGCAAGTCAAGAGGTTTTCGTTACAAGACACTATGCCTATTGCTGCCTCCATGCCTGGGCCGTGCTTAAAAACGAAAGTAATGCGCTTCATGTGCCACATAATGCAAAGATTGGAAACCAGTTAGATGAAACTTTAATTAGCGGCAGAAAGCGTCGCAGTGAGACGCCAAAATATAAAAGAATGGAAAAACGAAGAAAAAAAAAAAAAGACAAATAAATTTCAGTTCGCAGTTTCGACTGGAGTCTGCACAAATGACTGAACAAAATTTTCATATTGAGTGCAAAACCCGAATTTTATAGCGTTGCATAATAGTTTTGTGAACCAAGTAGTTTTCCATAACTCGACGATTGTGGCCGGCTACATATAAATGAACGAATACCAAATAGCTGCACACTCAGGCAAATGCATCCAAATGTAATGAGTTGTAATGTTGTATGGATGCATGCGTACACCCATCAAGTGTACCTAACCTTTTTGACTATTAACGGCCTTTAAGCGATAGTTATAGTTATTTGTATATGAGCGATGGCATTGTAATAAACTCGGTGGCAAAGGTATTGTTTCTACATTTTTCTCGATTCTTTGCAAGGTTCAAGAATCGTTGTGAAAGGATAAAACTTGACGTTGGCGTCGTGGCCATAAGGTTCTCTAAGCTAAAAACAAATCGATTTCGATCTGTATTATCTGCATTGAAACATAATGAGCAAAGGCCATCTCTGCCGTAGGTTCATAAGTTATGAGAGTAGT